TTTACTAATTTTACCATTTAAAAAAACTAATAAGGTACTCTCTAATTGCGATAATTAAGTAATAATAAACATATTTACAAAAACAAGATAATTTCAAAAAATGTTTGGTAAAAAAAAGAATCAAAATCAACATGTTTATTTTAGATTTCATGGAAAAGTTGCGTCTGCTCTAAATCGAGCAATGAAATCTGCCAGTGTAAGTATAAATGAAAAATAATAAGTTAGTTAAAAATATTCCAGTGAAATGAAGTCAATAAAATGAAAATAATATGTATGATTAATAAAAGAGAAATGCAATGTATGGATATAAAATAGAATTTGTCATATTTTATTTGTTATATATAAATAAAATATTGAAGTCGGCGTACTGATATTATTATTATAAAAATCTATGCAAATGTAAATATAATAATAATTAATGTATATAAATCTGCAAAACATTTGAGTCATAACTAAGACAAAATATTTTGTCTTTATTAAAAGACAAAGAAAACGCTATGTAATATTTAATTAAAAAAAAAACACGAAGATGACATTTTTCTCTGGAAAACTGCTAACAGTTTTTACATAGAGATCTTAAAATTTTTAATAATATTTTTTCATTAAAATTGAAAAAAAAAATGGAAATGTAAAATACCCTTAGGGTAGAAAACCATATACGTAATTATATATATATTATATAATATGAAGAAGTTTATATGAAAGGCAAAGAAAATGAAAAAAATATCATTCAACAATAATAAGATATTTAAATATTATTCTAATCATTTCTACTTGTCAATATTAATAATTTATAATATTATTATTAATAAAAATCAAAACTTGACTAGTCCTATGAACTGTTGTTGAATTTTTAAACATCGTGGCCTTGTTTGATGGCAACCCAAATGGTTGTCCTCTCTGTGATAAATTTAATATTACAATTTCTGTAATACCGATGAAACTTTATTGATGCCACAATATTACTATAGGGTAGAGAAGAGCTTAAAGGTCCACCACCAATATCTCAAAAACAAGTAACGTTAAATTTTTAACAAGAAACCATGAGAATCTAAGTTTAAAAATAAAATAATCTTGTTTAATAAAAAATTAATTTTTGGTACGGAAAGTTCCAGCAATTTGCCTTGAGGCGCAATGCCATGTACCACTAGTTAAACAATATCGCTATAGGCTAGAGAGGGGCTTAAAGGTCCGCCAACAATATCTCAAAAACAAGTAACGTTCGAAGTATTTTAAACAAGAACCTTGAAAATTTGTTGTGACCGCTGTTGTTTAGTTTACGAGACCTTTATACAACTTTTAAGTATACGTTATTTAATTGTTTTATAAGATGTATTGTTATTTTTAAGTTAGATTCTTGTAGAGATTAGATTTTTATATAACCTTTGCAAAAGCTTACATGTGGGTGGGGTAAAAAAGACCAACTGAACCTTTAACCTGGCAAGTTATCAACAAAAAAAATAGTAAATGAAAAAGTGAATTAAATTAAAGAAAGCAAATTTACAAGTGATAAATTAAATAAGTAGTTAGTCCATATCTGCTGATGAGTATTTCTGACAAAATATCACATCATAGTTTTATACAGTGTTATCTTTATAGATGTACCCATAAAATCTATACTTTGCATTGATTGAATAATGTAGCTATTTCGTAAAATCCTTTTAAATTTAAAATTAGGACATTGGATCTATTTGCCCACTGGTTGTCCCATTTTACCCCTTCTATGAGGTAAAAAGAGACATATGTATGAAAAAATCGTAAAATTTTAGATTCAGGTAATAAAAAATACATGTGATATCTAACTAGACCCCTCTCTCCCCCACGTGATTTTTCGTAATTTATTATCAACCCTCCCTCCCCCTAAAAGCCTCACGTGATAGTTCACATTTAGGAAAAATTAACGACAAAAATTCAAACAACATTTTTGGTTTATTGACTTCGTATAAAATATTCAATTTTGATCGAATCAAAAATTTTATCTTTAATCTAGAATAATTATTATTCAATCGTCATCTTCTTGCAGCCTTGAAATTGTACTTGGCAAATATTTCGTCGTGTCATGAAAAGCAAATTGTAGTGATCAGAATTTGCAAAATAAAATATATTAAAAATATTATGCAATATAATTCACCAAATTTCTGTGATATTGTTTAAAGTATATTTCTGTGATATTATCAATTAAATCGTAATTTGTTTAAGAAAATCATTGTAATTTTTATTTGAGCATTGATCAGAACTTAAGGTCTTTTTCAGAAGGCGACCCAACGGTTGTCCCATCTCTATTTCTACAATTTATTATAAAAATTTCTGTAGAATTAATTTTTTTATTAACGCAGCAATACCAAAGAATGGTAGTTTCACTTGGGAACGATTTAAAAATATTTTCTTATAAAAACATAAATAATCTGTAGAACATGAATTGAAAATACTAACAACGTATTAGTAATTTGTAGTTGCTTTATTATCATGGATTTGAATTCTACATTAAATATCAACATTAAAATTAAATATTAGTGTTTATTATTGTTATAAGAGCCTATAGAGTCGAACAGGAATGTTCAGGGTTTTCCAATCGGAGAATCCATACTAATATTTGAAACTAAAAGATTCAATCTAAAATTAGTGATATAATAATTTGCGATTAAAATCCCCACCCATTTTTTTAAAAATAAAATAGGGAAATTTTCAGATGCAAATAGTTGTACAGGTCGCTAAATTAAACTTCTTTTTTTAAAAAAACTAACCTAACAAGTGGTGTACGGCATCGTGCCTTAAGGCAAATTGCTGGAACTTCCCGATAACAAAATGTTCGAGGAATATTAAATGTAACGAATAGATTATTATAACTACTGTAACATTATCTAATATTTATAAGAATGATATAAACTATAATCACACACACACATCCAATTTTTCTGAGGTGTACCAAAATGTTCAGAAACCTCTGAAACGTGAAGATATGCAAAAAATTTTATTTTCTATATTTTCGGCTCATTACTATACTACTGCGGGAAGTTAAAAATATTAAAGAAAGAGGCTTACTTTATTGAAAAAAAAACTCTAATTAAATAATTACATCAGGTTAAAAGGAATCTTGATAAGTTTCTCTTACATTCACGAGGTTGAGATATATTTCAAAATAAAAATTATAGTCAAAGAGAGATATGAATGACCGAAATGAATTATTTTTTTTAAGATATTTGAATGTTTTATACAATAAAAGTATAGAAGGAAAGTAATTTCAATAATAATAAAAATTATGCTGGTTCGAAATATTCATCACTTTTTTGCAACAATTATTAAAATTAATAAAAAATTGATATTTGGTTAGGAAAACATGCAAAAGAAATTTCTAACACCTAACCTTTGTAATAAAAAAAGCAAAAGATTGAAAAAATGAATATCTACTGCTCGAAACCATTCGCAATTTAAATTCTATCATATAATCTATTTTTTAATATTGAATTTAAGTGAAAATATTTCCTGGAATAATTTAGAAAACTGTTTTTCTCACCTTCAGTGAAGGATTCCTCTATCAATTTTTTCTAATTATTAACTTCCCGTAGGGTAAGTTATTGTAATCGTCCAAAAATCTAAATTGAAAATCTTTATATTTCTTCACGTTTTGAAGGTTTCTGAACATTTTGGCATACCTCAGAAAAAATGGATGCGTGTGTGTGTATGTATGTATAGATACAAATTTTCGTCCACGTTTTCGGGCGCACGGATCAACCGATTTGAATGATATAATGGAGAAAAGACTTTTTAAAATATCTTTACCAAGATTCTTTATGCGAGACCTTTTTATGTAGCGAGAATATTTTATGTAGTGTGGTGATTGCTTTGTTATTGTAGTTATAATATTACTTATGTATTTCGAGAGTTTATATAGAGGGGTATTAATGTCTGAAACAATTTAATAGTTAAAAGTTAATTTGTAGATTTGGGGAAGGGTCAGAAGCTGTCTCTTTACTTAGTTGTTTGTCAAAAAACATTCGATTCCTATTGATAGGGAGATGTGCTGATTAGTTTTTAGCAAAGGCAGATCCAGCCGTTACGGAGATACAGAGCACAGAGTGCAGAAAATATAAATCCAGATTTTGAGAAAACGGAGCATCCGATTTGAATTATTCAAAAAAAATCAAGTTGTAATGATTGAGAGAAGAGGTGATTAGTTTTTGGCAAAGGCAGGTCCAGCCATTTCGAAGAAACAAAGTTAAATGTGCAAACAATGGCAGTTTTTGAGAGAACTAAGCGTCCGATTTGAATGATTCTTTCTTTTTTTCAATTTTTTTTTGTATATCGAAAATAGTTCAGATTTTATTTTTAATTCTGACTAAAGTTCTAATATACTTTGAACAAATAATTTCAACTTTGCAATTCAGTTTATATACTTGTTACAATATTTATAATAATCTATTTGAAAACATTTAATATTTCTCGAACATTTCGTTATGGTACGGGAAGTTCCAACAATTTGCCTTAAGGCACGATGCCATTCACCACTAGTTTTAAAGGTAAATTGAATACAGTTTAGAGATGAATTTTCCGTCAGAGCAAATCAACACTAAGTTATGACGACCAGTACAAAGTATCGATTTCACAAAAAAAACGAAAAATAAATTACGACTTTATTTTTGATCTTCTCTAATTTTCGCCTAATCTAATTTATTCCTAATTAACATATTTTTAAAAAGCTTTTCACGTTTAATTACGAAAATTTCCTTCAGGATCAGGCAAAGCATCCCACAATGCCGTTTTCCTATTGGCCGAGCTTAATCAGTTGTGCCAACAGCGAGAATGTCTCCCTTCTTTTTTGCGCGCGCGCTTTGAAATCACAAGAAGCACGTGCTTCCTCTCACCGGCAACAAAACCGTTGGTGTCGGACAACTGTTGCTCAGTTTGCGTTCGAATTTCGTCCGAGAAAGGACAAAATAATAAAAAGATAATAATAGATAAATTTATTTCATCGATTATTATCCCAAAAGAAGATATATTCTGATTCATTTTGATTTGATTTTTTAATAAATCTTTCAAACTGTGTGATACGAGTGATTTATTATTTTATAAAACGATTGATTTTTTTAGGACTCAGTGCGGGTTGTTTTATGTAATGTAGTTTAATCGTTTAATTTTATAGTTTGGTATTGTTTTTTTTTCGAATTTGTCGAAAAAAATTAAATTAAAGTGATTGCTGAGCTGTGATCTTTGCGAAACGGTAAGTTTGATTAATTCAAATCCTTAATCATAAAATTAGAGATATCGAACGAAATCTATTAAAATTAAATATTTTATAAAAAAGAGTGCTAAAAAATTATTTAACAATGAACGAACTTCTTTTCAAACGTAGCAACGTTTTCAAAGAGCTACGTTGAATACTTTGGATTTTTGACGTATGATAAACCTTTTTTGTCCACATTTTATAATTTATATATAATAATGATCTTAATATCGCGTAAAATTGGAATATAAATCATAAATCCCAAAATGCATTTTAGTAATAATTAAATAAATTTATATTATAACATTATTTCGAACAAGCAGGCATAAAAAAAATTTTGTTGAAAACTTTAAATTTTTGGAGTTGATTGACCTTTATTTATCTAAATTTTATAATTTATATATAATGATCTTAACATTTGGTAATATTGGAATATAAACCATAAATCCCAAAATGCAATTTACTAATGTTCGAATCAATTTATAATATAAAACTATTTCAAATAGGCAGACATAAAAAGTTTTGTTGGAAACTTTAAATTTTTGGCGTAGATAGATCTTTTTTATCCAAATTATTTTAATATTTAGTCATATTATAACACAAACCATAAATGAATAAATAAACCATAAATCCCAAAATGCAATTTAGTAATAATTAAATGAATTTATAATATAAAATTATTTCAAATAAGCAGGCATAAAAAGTTTCGTTGAAACGCTTAGATTTTTCGCGTTCATATACCTTTTTATCCAAATTTTATGATTTACATATGAAGATTTTGATATTGAGTAATATTTGAATATAAATAATAAATTTAAAAATGTTTATATATTTTAGTAATAATTAAATTAATTTTTAATATAAAATTGTGACAAATAAGCAGACCTAAAAGGTTACGTTAAAAAAATTGATTTTTGGCGTTGATAAACCTTTTTTTTATACAAATTTCATGAATTATATAAAATAATCTTGTTATTTAATGATATTGAAATCGTAAATCCTAAAATACATTTTAGTAATAATTAGATCAATTTATAATTTTAATACCATCGATTTATAAACATAAATTCTGCAAATATGCAGACTAAATTAAAAAATAGATTTTTGTCATTGATTTCTAGCCAAATATTTTAATTTTTATATGACAATCCTAATTTTTAGAAAAATTAGAATAAACTATGATATACAAAGAGCATTTTAGTGATAATTAAATCGATTTATGATATAAAATTATTACAAATAAGCAGATATAAAAAGCTACGTTAAAAAATTGATTTCTCACGTTGATGAATAATTTATAAAAACTTTATGAATTATAATACTATATTATATTTAAATCTAAATCTAAATAAATTTAAATAAAATATAACCCATCATATACAATATAATTTCTGTTTTAAATTTTTATTTAAAAAAAATTCTACTAAATGTAAAAAAATATAAAATGAAAAGTTTTTTTTAATAAAAATGTATAAAGCTGCTTTTATTATTTCACTTTCAATATTTCTGCAGAAGTAATTTCGATTGAAACAATTCAAGAAAATTACAAGAAATTAAATAAATAGCAATGAGACTTTCATTCGCATTAAATCAGAGAAAAATGTTGATATATACGTCGAAGCTATTATTACAGTAAATCAAAACATTATATAAATTATTATATACTTAATATAAATGCCGACTAAAATAAAAACATGTACTTCATAAACATTGGTTTATAAATATTTAAACGTATTGATACTTATTGAAATGAATGCGTTTGATATGAATGATTTGAAAATAGATTTAATGTTTTTAAAATATTATGATATTTGTTGATTAATATGCAAACATGGTTAATAATCAATGTTATTATTATTAAAAATTTAATCAGGTAATACAAAAAATATAAGCGACTATAAGAAAACATACTTTGTTGTGCATTGTTTAACATAGAATGCAATAATATAAAATATATTAGTCATTTTATTATGCAAAAGCAATCTGCACTACAATAAATTCAACCCAAGTTCTAAGATTCAAAACGCGCGCCAAAATTTATAAAAATCGCGCGCGTTGTTCAACTATGTAATTAAAATATAACTTAGGGTAAATTATAGTAATCGCAAAAAAATCGGAAATGAAAATTTTTATACATCTTTACGTTTCAAAGGTTTTTGAACATTTTGGCATACCTTAGAAAAAATGGGTGTATGTGTGTGTTTGTATGTGTGTGTGTGTGCGGATACAAATTGTCGTCGTCGATTTCGGGAACACCCGGGATTTGAATAATTCAAGAAACATTTGATTCGTATTGATAAGGAGACGTGCTGATTAGTTTTTGGCGAAGGCAGGTCTAGCCGTTCCGAAGATACGGGGCAAAATGTGCCAAAAACGGTAACCCAGTTAGTTTTTAAGAGAACGGAGCGTCCGATTTTAATAATTCAAAAAACATTTTACTTGTATTGACAAGATGAAGAACTGATTGAATTTTTGGGAGGCAGGTCCAGCGGTTATAAACTCTCAATAAAAATAAGTTATAAAAATGTCATTTACCGGTCAAAAATGTTTATTGGGCATATGTACATGAAATTATCAGATACTTTATAGAGATTTTAATAATGTGGACACATTTTGTGTAATTTTTTTTGGGTTCTGTACCTAGATTTTTAATTACGGTGCGGGAAGTTCCAGCAATTTGCCCTAGGGCACGATGCCATGCACCCCACTAGTTCATTTATTATTTTCAATAAAATTCAAATTATTTCTTCTAAATTTTAGTTCAATTTAGTAATTATCATAGCATAGTTCTCTGCACCACACATAACAGTGAGAACAATGGAAAAGTGCCTTATTAAAATATAATGGTAGTAACCAGAACAAAATTCTACTTTCTAGACTGCAGACACAGAATTATGCAATCTTATAGGAAAATTCTGATATTGCGCAAATTGCAAACGCACGCATTCGTACTTAATTTAAATGTTTTCTCTTAATTGAATTCCATTTGTCTTCAACAGATGTAAAACTACTCAGATAAAAAAACATTTGGATTCCAAAATTGACATTATAGAGATAGTTAGAACACATTCACTCTTAATTTCAATATATCTCTGAATAAAATTTAATTTGCTTGTTTTTTTTTAATGTATTCATAATTAGAGTAGAGCAAGTCTCCAAGGTCTGCGGGTAAAAAGATCTACCACCGATATCTCAGAAACAAGAAACGTTAGGAATTTTTTAACAACAATATTTGAAAGTAGAGGGCAAAACAAACTTAACCTTGATTCTTAAGACTTCCCTTCAAAAGTAAATGACAATGTTTGAAAATCTTTGAAAAATTAATAAACATGTTTAATAAATTATAATTATTCCAAGAAAATTTTGTAGTAATAATTTCAAAATCATTTTTTAATTTTCAAAAAATAAGTATAATCATACTAAGAGTGCTAAGAGTGAAATTATAATTTATAATTTATATTGTAGGAAATTAATAAATATCTTTAATAAATTATAATTATTCCAAGAAATATTTTCATAACGTATGATTTTCGAATTATTTAATCTCGCGTAAGAGAAATGACTCAACATAATAAAATTGATCCCAATACAAATATTTGGTGCATTCCAAAGAAATATTCTCAAAACATGATATTATTTAAATTTTCAAAATTATAATAATGACTATTCATTTTTTTGAATTAATAATCTTCTTTATCTCAAATTATTGTGTACTTGAAATTTAAATATTTATTAAAGCTTAATTATTATTGGTTTTAAGGTTTTTATATTTAGGCAGAATTATGAGAATCAAATTGTTAGAATGATTTATTAGAGTGCTGCAATAGTAAAAATAAATGATAAATAAATACATGTAAAAATGTTTATATGTCTTATTATTTACCAAAGCAAATAATTTTAGAAATAATTAAGACATAATAATATGTTCATAATATGAATTCATTTTAGTTAGTTTTTGTTTCATCTAAATTAGTTTTTGTAAAATATTTTTTGTGGGTCAAAACAAAAAATTAAACACGATTTATTGATTCGTCAAATCGATAGCAAATAATTATTGTTAGGAGTTTTAAAAAATTTCTGAATGGTAACTATTCTAAAAATTCAAATATATATATAATAAATGATATATTTCTATATAAATTTGAAGCCAGTTTAGGCAACAAGAATTATGCATTATTTGGGCAACATGTCTCTTCCATCATACTGCCCAAAAATGTAATACATAAAGATTTTTTTTTGAAGAACAAGACAAACTAAAATTTAAACCAAAATTTATACAAATGAGTTCAAATCAAACTAAAATCCACATTTTTAAATTCTTATATCAGAAGTAACAAGTTTAAATGTAATTGCAGAAAATTAAGAACTAAAAAAATAGATCAGTCTTGATAAAATCCAGTAAATTTTTAGAACTATCATCAGAAAGTAATTTTGTTTGCACTGGTAGAATGTAAAGAGATGAAAACAGATTCTGCAAATCTTCTTCTCATTTTTTTTTCCTTATAAAAAATGTCAGACGATTTGAATTGAAAGTGTGCTTGAAAAAATTTATTATTTAAACAAATAAAATTTAGTAGTAATATAAAATTACTATCACACCTTGCCTTACCAAAAAAATCCAATAATTCCAAAAACCAAATAAAAATATTTGTTTTACTCTAATGGTATAAATTGAGCTTTTCTATTAACGTACCTATTTTGCATAATTGATAAAGATGTTTTGAAATTCAAATTAAATTTGAACCGCTATTTTCTGGTATCTGGAATAATATAATTCTTTGCTGACAAATGATATAAATATTGACTGTATGAAACATCCAAACAGGTGTTTTTCTTTAAAAAAAATAATAAGAAGCAAATGTTTGCGAATCCTTGTGCGACACAATTGTTAAACTAGTACACGAAAACAATGATATAAATTATATGAGGTAAAATAAATATGAAAGTAGGTATTCAGATAAAATGCTAATGTTTTAGAAAGAGTATTATAATAAAAT